GCTTTCTGTGACGCGTCGCTTGGATCACACGTCTTGACAATGTTTAAATCTCAGATATCCAAGAAAGCTCCTGTGTACAGGTGTTATTTCTCCATAGTTTGGACATGTCCTACGAATACTTCATGAAAGGAAGGTGAAACAATTACTTCTTGCTCGACCGACCGGCCGAAGAAGGCCTGTGGGACGGTCAAGAATAACCTGGACAGTATCTTGAAGCACTCGGCTCGAACGTTGGGTCATCGACGGTTGAAGCTGAAAGACTGACACAGCATCTGTCAGACGATAATGAATTAACGGTCGTCGAAACTGATTTGGAAGAGGTGAAGACTATTATTCTGTCCTAGTTAAACGTGCTATCAATTAATTACGTTAGTCATATCAGACGTGTACTGAAATTAACCTTAAAGTCAAAGAATAAGAATATTGACAGTAATTTATCCGATGACGATTTATCCTTAACTTGATAGGTTTAATTCGTGCATCTTGCTTACTAAATTTAAATACGGCGAAAAGCGCGAATCAGTAGTCCGGTGAGTATGTGTGATTTAGAGTTTAACTGTTTAGCCATTTGCTAATAAATCAACATGAGATAATAATAAATAGTTAAATCAGCATTCCTTGTGATCCTGAACAGTCATGACTTTCACAAACTCAAATGCTTATACTCAACGGTACGTTAAGTCAGGTTATTTTAACGTTAGGTATCATTAACGCAGCGTAGGCAAGCGAAACGTTGTCGTAAAAGCCGATAAACCTTCATCACTCTTCTGATGAGTCATCGCATGATTCAAGCTACCTTCTGAGCTTTCATAATGGCGCAATAAGTTTTTCATATGCATTAAGCGGCTCATCCTCGATAGAATTTCTGCTTTACATGAAGACGAGACTTGTATACCTTGGTGTCCTTGAGGAATCTGCTAACGAAAAACATGCTTTGATCTTTCTCATAGAACGATCATGTCAGATTTGCTCAAGAGCAAGGATCAGATGAAAATATTGCATTCCTGGATGCAACATTTGCTTAGAACTGATCGTACTGCGCCGATTGCATTCAAAATTGACTTGTAGAGTTTGCTCGAAAATTGTGCCAGAGTTCTGTCAATGCGCAGGTAGTCACCCGATCGGGATACCACTCAACCTTACCAATTATTCAACTATCCTTTTTAAATGACAGTTCATGGCAGCATACAATTGGGATAGGACTTCCTAGGGTCTTAAATGAGCGGGTGCCTTTGATGCCAACGGGATATCGACCTGAACGTGGAATGTTGGCTCGCTGACAGAAAGAAGAGAATCAACAACAGTTGGATGAAGACAAGCAGTGACACCAGTTGGCCATAGCTGTGATCCTTTCAATCAAGGATCGCAGCGTCAAGGCCTGGAAGTGACGTGCGAGGTACTCGAACCATTTGATTGGCTCCCGAATTGTGCAACAGGAAAGACAGATAGTTTTGATCAAGCATGATGCTGATGCGCAACGGGATGCGAACCTTATCAGTTAAATGCCTTTAAATTCAAAGAAGCTTTCGTGAAGACCCTTCAAATGTCCCTGTGATAAAACAATATATTCCAAATGGCTGCCATTAATAAATTCAGTAGCAGTGAAGCTATAATCTTTCCGACTGCAGGAGCATTTGTCAGAGGTATATCTTAATGCTTACTTTTCGCACCTGTTCGATAATCCGTAATCAACAATCAAGTGGGATAAAGAGATTTTCAGCCGCAGGATGCGGAAGTCAGAAAACTGACAGTTTTTCACATACTCCAGTATGATTACCTTCGAAGACCAAGCTGTCTTTACTGCTTGAGGGCCTAAGACTTGCTACCGTTTGCTCAGCTGCTTTCAGCTTTGTGCATTTGATGTATTCCTTAATGGCAATTGCATAAGAAAACTTTACGCCACGGTTAGGGACTGAACTTTTAATGCTTCCAAAATGTAAATCAAACCACTAATACTTGTGGTGCTGTCGCGGTTACGTTTGTCACAATATCATTATTAGCATAACGATATTCAGCGGGCCACATTATGTTATTTGATTGGAATTTTTGTCAGGATTCCTGCTCATGCCGTGATCATATTCCTTTCAAGAAGTTTGTCCTTAATTCTGTGATACTTTTTCCGTCATCGTGTCTAATAAGTTTATGCCCTACAGCTTTCCTTACTCTGAAGGAAAGGACCACGTCAACGGATCAATTCAAGATTCCGACACACGTACTGACTAATATTTGCTCCTTACTCACAATTTATTTTTTGTATTGTAGACATAAATGTTTTATTTATTACTTACTCCTGGTGTTGTTACTTTAATTTTTATGTGGTTGCGGTGTTTTCT